GTGTTTGCACTAGCTGCTGCCTTCGTGACTCTCTCCGTGTTCCGCGAGAGGCCAAAATCGCCTCTCGATTCTCATTGAGTCGAGGGCGGGGCTGCACGGTCGCTTTTGTTCGATGGCCGTTTCGTTTTACACAGGCGCGCGCGCGCGCGTTTCCCTCGCTTTTTTTCCCCTCTTCGATTACGCAAATTTATAGTTGATTCCGGACCAACATGCGGCACTGCATTGTCCTTTGAGTGTATCTTGTCCACCGGTTAGTCCCTCTTGTTCCGCCTTGTAATTGTACGCTGCAATGCAACACCTACCAGCCCGTTTGCAATTATTCGTATGCAACATCGATCGACGTCATCAGACAGCCTGTCATCAATCAGACAGTCTTATCGTTAGTCTTCTCGCGTTAAAAAATTACCAAATTCTTGTGCAAACAACAAACGACTTTTACTTTTCATCGCCATTACCCTCGGAAGATTTGACTCGAGCGTGAAACGTAGTAGCAAGAACGCGAGAAGGCTCGTACCGCTTTCGATGCCGCGGGTACGCGTGTGCGTTAAGGGAGCGGAAACTGGAGGCATAACACAGAGGTATAACACAGACGAAACTCGAACGGCAACGTGAGAACAACGTGTTACCGCGTTAAAGCGGCCTCCGCTTTTTAACGGTCACTTTCGCGCGGCTGCAGACGCTCGGGCGTCCTAATTCGGGCATCCACGCGGCGTCTGTTCCCGCCTAATCGAAAGTTTATGCCCTCGTCCGAGAGGATGAAGGGGGGAGGGGAGGTTGCCGAAATATTCGCCGCACACGGTATGGAACATTGAACGCGGCTGGCGCGGTAGCTCGCCACGAAGAGCTATAGCAAGGGAATCGCGCGAAAGGGAGACAGATCCTCTCGTCGGCTGCAGGAGAGCCTCTCTCGTGTTTGTACCTCTATACTCTATACGCCGAAACCGGTGAATATTCCCTGTGAAATTCACCTGGTTTATATTTTCTGTCGTTTCCGGTGCATCGCGCAATTTTCTCTCCCTTTCGCGCGGCCGCTGCTCCTCTCCCTCGCTCAAACCCCTCTGCACACCCTCTCGTCCGGCGTTCCGTGTCGTACCATAGTACCCGGCTCCGGGATTTTTATGGGGATAATCCACCCACTCGCGGGTACGGCACTGACACTTGTTTTATCTGTCGCTGAACGACGTTTCATGCTCTCCCGTGTCCTGCCACTTTTGATACGAGGAACAGAGTGAACACGCGATGGCTGCCTGTATGTACAGGGTTTCGGCATCCAGGGCTGGTTCATCGGTGACAGGGGTGGTGCGTAAACGATTTTTTATTTCGTCGATTTTCCTACAGCCTGCGCCAGGCGTGCCCCCCCCC